CCCGCCCCCACCCCCGCAGTTCCCGCCTGCACCCCAAATCCCTAGGGAGCACCCCTTTCTGTGGAAATAGTTTCAGACGCGTTGCCGCTCTTCACCTTCCCGGCCACCTCCGGGAGGAGCTCTCGCAGGCCGGGACGCGGATCTTTCATTTCCCCATCCGGCCGTCAGAGCGGGCTGGAAATGGGCTTCCAGGACTTCCTTGTCATTCCTCTGCAGAGCAGTCCCTATCTCCCTCCCCTCCTCGCCTTCTGCACCCCTCTTCCTTTCTCTTCTCGCCGGTTAACCCCTGGGGAGACTGAAATGCTTTGACCAGTACTCCTTTGCCTGCAGACTCGGATCTGACAACTGGCTGAATTACTATCTGGGGAGCGGAGGGCCGGTTTATTTATTCCTTGGGCAATTCATTCTGGGAGCACCTGTGAGATCCCAACAACTACACTGGGCCAAAGGCTCCTTGAACAAGTTCCTGTAAGCTTTCACGGGTTCATTGTGATAGGACTTTTATTCAGAAATGAAACAAAAATTTTTTTAAAGGTCTCAAAGACAATGAATGACACGTTACATAATTTTCATTTAAGACAACAAAATTCAAATATAACAAATTGCACAAATTTACCCCATAACACTGATCATACAATAGTCTTTAAAGAAATAGGTGTGTACTAAAGTAATTATACAGTCTAAAAATATTTCTATTATGCCTAGTTTACAAAGCTCCTGTACAAAAAACAATTATAAATAGTTCACATCTAGAAAAAATACGCATAACCTTTAAAATAGAATGTATCCTTACATATAAACGCTTTGTAGAAAAAAAGGATATTAAAAAGTAAGAATTTTTCATAGCACCAACCATTAATTTTTTCTTTTAAAAAAGTGAACATCGTAAATAGAAATTTGCTTTCATTCTAGACTGCCCAGATTTTAATAAAAAGAGCTGGAAAATAAAAATCAACCAAAATGTTCTGCATCATAGTGAAGGACGCAGTAGAGGAGGATGTAAGGAAATGTTTGGAAAGAAGATCTGCTATTGAAAACAGAATTAGGTCACTTCTGATACGCATCCCCACGGATCAGTGGCACACTTCAGTACTCTTTACACTTCTCAGTAGAAGCAGAATTATACTTATCACTAAGCCTGGATAGTTCTGGCAGCAATTTTGAAATTGCACTAGAATTAAAGTTTATATCAAATCAAGATTGGCAGTTGGAGATTATAATTAGTCTCTGTTTTTTTGTTTGTTTGTTTGTTTTTGCAGGCCCTGTTTTAGGTTTTCAGAGTGTACCCACAAACAATTTAAGCACTAAGATGATGAACTGGACAAAAACTTTAGCTGGAATTTTAAAAAATATATTATCATCAACTTCTAAAAGACTTAGTACATCATTTCAAGAGCATGGCGCGGATTCCATTTATTTATTTTTGCTACAAATATAACTTCTTTTCCAAAAAATTTACAACTTCTGTATAAATATTTTAAAAAGTGCAAAATTAAGACTTCTGTATCATGGGTGTGTTTACTTTTAATCCTTATGACACACAGCACATGGAATCTATCTTTATTGCTCTGTCAGAGAAGAAAGCTCCAGTGGGTTGCTTGCTGTGAACCTGAAAACGCAGGCTCTGGTGTTGTAATAGTTTACTGTTGTCATCTCTACCTGCCCCTCCCAACCCCTGACTCTTAAGTGCTCCATTTCCAGCTCACTGAGGGGGAAAAGTCCTTTATGCATCATTCGAACCCTGACTCGCACAGGAAGAGAAGCTGTCATATAAGGAATCACTCAAAGATTCCAAATTGTCTACCCCAGGCCGGTCTGAGCTACTCAAAGATGCCTCTTCATTTTTTTCCTTTTCTTCCTTCCGTCCTTCAACCTTGTTCGGAGAGTTGTCTTTTTCTAATAAAATCACAGTATTGCTGTTATATTTATTGAACGACTCCAGGGAAATTTTAGATAATCTATTCTCAGGATCCTCTTTTGTTTCTTCAACTTGTTTCAATTTCTGCAATGAAAAGAGGAAAATATTAGAAACATATTTCTTTGGAAATCAAGTTCTTCTATCCAATATTCAATTATTGTCTGTATAAAGTGCAGTTTAAAGGGATAGAGAGAAGCTACAAGTCTTTAACAAGCTTCTAGTATAATTACATGTAATAATAAAGCCAATTTTAGGGATAAATTAAGACTTGAATCATTTTTCCTGAGATGAATAGGTCCCAATTTGCAAACCAGTTAAGTGCCATTTAGTTTCATTTTAAATGGATCCATTTGAAATTTGTTCAGGTAAAGTGCCTTATTTTTCTTAATCAGAGTTTCAGACTACTCCCGTTTCTTACTAAATAGTATTAGCTATCCTGTTGCTAAGTATGGACAGGGGTTGAATTTCAGCCAGAAATTATGATTATATGTAAAAACAGAACAAACAAACAAACAGAAATACACGATCCCTTAAATTGCCTAGAAATTTAAGTATATGTTAAACTCATCAGAAGCGCTGCCATGTTTGTATTTGGTCCCTTTACCAGTCTTAAGATATTTGAAAGAGATTTCCAGGCCAGTGGGCATACTAGTAGATCCTAGAAGGCCCAAGGGCTTAAAATTCATGCTAATAGTCTGTACCTTAGTAACCACACTCCTCCAGGAGGTTCTAGTAACACCAATTTAATATTTTTAGGATGTCACTGGTAGTCTCTAGAACTTTATAAAACATGGCAGTCAGATTTAGTAATTATTGCAGGTTTAACCCTATGAACATCACTATATTCAGCTGCTCAAGTGGCTCCTAAGGTCTGAGGTGGGAGGAGAGATGGTCCAGATGCCAAAAGCAACGGTGTGGAGGTGGCTGAGCTACTAACTCATTTCTCACCTTTTTCTCTTTCGGGCAAAAATTCCACCCTAACCTAGGAAGAAGTACAGACAGGGTTCAGAGATGATGACGAGAGCCATCATTTACTAACCACCCACTCTGTAAAAGACACCGGACACATTTCATCTACAAGCCTTTCACAAACCTGCAAGTGCCACTTCCCCATTTTAAGGAGGCAAACAAGGCTCAGAGTGACAGGGTCACTTGCCCAAGGTCACTAAGCAAGTGAAAGAGAACAGGCCTTGAATTCTGGCCTGGCTGGCATCCATGCTCTCGTTTTGCCATGTTCTTACATAATAACAGACAAAATGACCTGTATTTTTTCATTTTACCACCCCAATATTCCACTTAACTTGCCAACCCTTCTGTCCCACTGCTGTCCAAGGCTCTCACATGTGCCTTTGTTTCCTCAGCCCATCCCTACATTGTCACAATGGACATACAGAGGTGAAATGAGGAAATTGCTTTCTGATTCAGGGGAAAACGAACACAGCCAATGACCATGATTCTTGCATGTTAAATAGTTTATTTTTTATTTGTTGAGTTGAATTTATTGGGATGATACTGGTTCACAAAACCATACAGGTTTCAATTGTACAACTAAACAAAACATCGCCTACACACTGCATCTTGTGACCATCGCCCCAAGCAAAGTTCATTTCCATCCCCATTAACCCACCTTTTGCCCAGGTCAGGCTCCCCGACCCTTCCTTTCTCTCTGGCTATCACCACACTGTTGTCTGTCTAGGTATTATGTATAGGGTTTTTTTTTTTTTTTTGACTCATTCCTTCACCCTTTTTCATTCAGTCCTCCAATCCTTCTCCCTCTGACAGCTGTCAGTTTATTCATGTATCCATGCCTCTCTTTCTATTCTGTCAGTTTATTTTGTTCATTGGATTCCACATATGAGTGAAATCATATGACACTTGTCTTTCCCTGACTGGCTTATTTCATTTGGCATAATCATCTCCAGGTCTACCCATCCTGTTGGAAAAGATAGGATTTTATTCTTTTTTATGACCACATAGTATTCCATGTGTAAGTGTACCAAAGCTTCTTTATCCAACAGTCTACTGATGGGCACTTGGGCTATTTCCAGGTCTTGGCTACTGTAAATGATGCTGCAGTGAACATAGGGGTGCATATATTCTTTCGAATTAGTGTTTTGGGTTTCTTAGAATATATTCCCAGAAGTGGAATTGCTGGTTCAGAAGTAAGTTCCATTTTGAATTTTTTGAGGAAACTCCATACTGTTTCCACAGTGGCTGCACCAGTCTGCATTCCCACCAGCAGTATATGAGAGTTCCCTTTACTCTACATCCTCACCATCATTTGTTGTTTGTTGATTTATTGATGATAGCCATTCTGGCAGGTGTGAGGTGATATCTCATTGTAGTGATATCTCATTCTGGCAGCTGTGATTAGTGATGTTGAGCATTTTTTCATATGTCTATTGGCCATCTGTATGTCTGCTTTAGAGACATGTCTATCCAGGTCCTTTGCCATTTTTAAAATGGAATTGTTTATCTTCTTGATGTTGAATACTATAAGTTCTTTATATATTTTAAAAATTAACCCCTTACCAAATGTATCATTGTCTAATATGTTCTTATGTTCTCCCAGTGAGTTCCCTTTTCATTTTGTTGAGGTTTGTTTGTTTTCTCTATGCAAAGCTTTTTAGTGTGATGAAGTTCCATTTTATCCCCTTGTTTTCCTTGCCTCAGGAGATATATTGGTAAAAATATTGCTACCAGAGATGTCTGAGATTTTACTGCCCATGTTTAGTTTGAATTTGTTATGGTTTCACGACTTACATTTAAGTCTTTTATCCATTTTGAGTTTATACTTTTTAAAATATATATATTTTTATTGATTTCAGAGAGAAAAGGAAAGGGAGAGAGATATAAACATCAATGATGAGAGGGAATCATTAATTGGCTGCCTCCCTCAAGCCCTCTACTAGAGGTCAACCCAAAACCTGGGCATGACGTTGACTGTAGGTCTGTCATATATGGCTTTTATTATGTTATGTTCCTCCATTCCCATTTTGCTAAGCATTTTATCATAAGTGGGTGTTGGATTTCATCAAATGCTTTTTCTCATCTATTGATATGATCATGTGATTTTTGTCCTTCATTTTGTTTATGTGATGTATCACATTTATTGATTTGCAATATTATGCCAACCTTGCCTTCCTGGAATAAATGCCACTTCATCATAGTGTATGATCTTTTTAATGTGTTGCTGGATCCAGTCTGGTAATATTTTTTGAGAATTTTAGTATCTATGTGCATCAGGGATATTGGCCTATACTTTTCTTTCTTTGTAATGTCTTTATCTGGTTTTGGAATTAGGATAATGCTGGCTTTTTAAAAAGAACTTGGAAGTCTTCCCTCCTCTTGAAATTTTTGGAATAATTTGAGAAGAATATGTGTTAATTCTTCTTTAAATGTTTAGTAAAATTTGTCTGTGAAGCCATCTGGTCCAGGACTTCTGTTTACTGGGAGTTTTTTAATTACTGCTTCAATTTCATTAGCTGATATCAGTCTATCAATTTTTCTGATTCAATTTTGGAAGATTGTATTTTTGTATTTTTCTAGGTATATGTCCATTTCACCCTGGTTGTCCAATTTATTAGCATATAATTGTTCACAGTATTTTTTTTTACAATCTTTGTATTTCTGTGATGTTGTTTGTTATACTTCCCCTTTCATTTCTGATTTTATATATTTGTGTCCTCTCTCTTTTTTTCTGATAAGTCTGGTTAAGGGTTCGTCAATCTTGTTTACCTTTTCAAATAATCAGCTCTTAGCTTCAGTGATCTTTTTTTTTTTTTAGTTTCTGTGTCATTTGTTTCTGTTCTGATCTTTATTATTTCCATCCTTGTACTTACTCTGGGCTTTTCTATCAATTTTTCTGATTCAATTTTGGAAGATTGTATTTTTGTATTTTTCTAGGTATATGTCCATTTCACCCTGGTTGTCCAATTTATTAGCATATAATTGTTCACAGTATTTTTTTTTACAATCTTTGTATTTCTGTGATGTTGTTTGTTATACTTCCCCTTTCATTTCTGATTTTATATATTTGTGTCCTCTCTCTTTTTTTCTGATAAGTCTGGTTAAGGGTTCGTCAATCTTGTTTACCTTTTCAAATAATCAGCTCTTAGCTTCAGTGATCTTTTTTTTTTTTTAGTTTCTGTGTCATTTGTTTCTGTTCTGATCTTTATTATTTCCATCCTTGTACTTACTCTGGGCTTTATTTATTGTTCTTTTTCTAGTTCCTTTTGGTGTAGAGTTAGGTTGTTTAAGATTTTTCTTACTTCTTGAGGAAGGCCTGTAGTGCTATGAACTTCCCTTGCAGGACTGCTTTTGATGTGGTCCATGGATTTTGGGTTGTTGGTATATTCATTTTCATTTGTTTCCAATAATTTTTTATTTCTTCCTTGATCTCATTGTTAACCCATTCATTGTTTAATAACATGCTAGTTAGCCTCTGTATATTTAAATGTTTTTCAGGGGTTTTTTTGTTTGTTTGTTTTTTGTTTTTGTTTTTTAACTGTACTTGGTTTCTGGTTTTACTAGGTGTACTGGTTAATAATGCAGATTTTTTTCAATTGATGGAGTTACACATATATTGATATATATGCGATTTGATATGTATGCTATTTTGTTATATTGACAAAAGCTTCAAAACTTCATTTGTCAAATTTGCTGAAGGTGTTAACATCATAGACATTTTTACACTTAAAAATGTCAAATTTTATGCCAAAAAAATGCATTTGCGGGAAGTTTTAATTCATTACTTTAAGTGCTACTGAATACTTCAGGAAGCTTATGGTGAACAGGCTCCATCTCAAAATACTTGTGAATGCTTGTTTAAATGCTTTAAAAGTGGTGATTTCGATGTGAATGACAAAGACGTCCAGGTCAACCAAAAAAGTCTGAAGATCAACAATTACAAGCATTATTGGATGAAGATGCGTGTCAAACTCAAAAACAACTTGCAGAAAGAGTAAACGTTGCTCAGCAAACAATTTCTGATCATTTACACGCAATGGAGAGGTTTTAAAGGAAGGAAAATGGGTGCCACATCAACTGAACGAAAGACAAATGGAAAACCGAAAGTCATCAGT